CTGCAGACTCGCTCGGTGTCTGTGCCGTTGGTGATGACGGCGAAGACGTCGAAGTCGGAGCCGTTGTTCGCACCCTCTGACAGCTTGATCCTGAGGTGCAGCCCCTCCTCCTCCTCCTGGACAGAGCGCTTCTCGTGCTCAGCCTTCGCAAACACTTCTCTCTCCTTGTCAGACCCTGCGGTGCACGAGAGAACCCGCGGTTCCCAGGGGGTACGGGGAGGGGATGGTCCAGGCTGCTTTGCCCCGATCCCTGGAGCCCTCCTGGTGCAATTGCTGCATTAATTCACCGTTCCCCAACTCTGTTTCCAAACAACTGACCCCTCCGGGTCCCTGCTGCCGCCCCATACCCTCTGGGTACTTGTAGGTGTGGGTGATGTCCTCTCTGCTGTCCCTGCCCACGCTCTTGGTGCTGATGTTCTTCCCCACCACCGAGGAGTGGGTGCTCTTCTTCTCCGACCCGTCACTCCGCACCACCCAGTACACCACGTCGGCGTTGACCTCAGCGAAGATGAAGGGGAGGTCATACTTCAGCTGCAGGTCACCCTCCTTGATGGCTCTGACAGGGGCCGGCCCACAGCAGAAAACCCCTGCAGGGAGCAGAGCCACCGTCACCGCAGGGGCAGGAACAGGACACGGCTGCGGTGTGGGGAGACTTTGCGGTGCCGGGGCGCGGGGCGGGACGGAGCGCCTGCGCGGTGGGTGCCGTACCTTCGCTCTTCTCCTGCGGTGTTGGGTCTAGCGCCTGCCACCCATCGTAGCTGGGATCCAGGTCTGGACGGGCCATCCAGGACTCCACCCAGCAGTGGAAGTTCCTGCAAGGGAAACCGGGACACAGGGACCTCAGTGCCCGCCGGGCAAATGCCATCCCAGGGGTGGGCAGGCTGTGTCCCGCCGTGCTGCTCACCAGATCATGTCCCTGGAGCGCCGCACCTCCTCCCCTGTCTCGCTGAGGTAGCGGTCGATGATCAGGTTGCCATTGGTGTCGTGGGCCGAGTTGTAGTTGGTCACCACCCGGCTGGGGATGCCCAGGCACCGCATGACTGCGGGGAGGCAGGGCAGGGTGAGGTGGGGCCCTGGAGCCCCAGGTTTCCACAGCTCCCATCCCACAGAGCCCCAGGTTTGCTCAGCTCCTGCCCTTCCCTTCCCTCCCCAGAGCGATGCCAGGGACTGATCCCCAGGACGTGCCGGTTCCCGCAGTCGCTGTGGGACTCGGTGTGCCGCGGAGGAGACGGGGGGCACGTGGCACTGCCAGTCTGTTGGGTTTTGATATTGCAGTAGAAAAAAGGCACAAAAGCGGCTGCGAGCGCTTTGAGGGAGTGCACGGGCAGCAGCGCCTCACCCTCTTATTTAATCTCCCAGCTGCCTTTTCCTGTGAGCGAGCTCCCTGAGGAGCAGGGAGGTTGTTACAACGCTTCAAAGGAAGGCTATAAACTTGAGAGTAATGAAAAGTCCACATTAGTTTCCTGATAGTTCTCTCCTCTAAAAAGGATCTGGTATATCTGTGATCTACAAATGCCCACGTGCGCTCGTGCAGCCCCACGAGTGCCTGAGTGTGCAAGCGCGTGTGGGCACTTCCCAGCAGAAGCAAGCCTGCAATTTTTCTTTCTCTTTTGCCCCAGCCTGACTGCCTCAGTGGCAGTGAAATTATTTTGATTTCAGTGGATTCATGACTTTATTGCAGACTTGACCTTAAAGCCACTTTCCTTCTCCAGTGCCCTGCGCCCAGCCCCTCCCTCTCCGCCTGGCCCCAGAGGCAGCGCTAATTGAAAAGCCAGAGCCCTTTTCTATCAATTTTTCCCTCCATTTCCTGACAAATTAGAATAACAGAGCACTTAATTGCTGAGCAGTCATTGCAGCCTGATTGTAATCAGCCCCAGCAGTTCCCTCCTGCTGCAGCACAGGGAGCGGGTGGAGGGCAGGAGGCTGGGGTGGGAGATGGGGGGACACGGGTGACCCCGTCCTGGGGGGAAGGGGGACAGGTGACATCTGCTCTCACCGGTACACGCCACGGCAGCAAAGACCCAGCACTGGCCGTACTTGACTGGTTGGCAACCAAACTCCTTCCACCTCTTGAGAATATCCACACTCCCAATCCAGGCCATCGGGCTCGTCCCATCTTCATAGTGGTCGTCCCACCGCCCCGCCAGCACCCCCCGGTCCTCGTCGTTACAATTTACCTGCAGCACAAAGGGGCTGTGATGGAGGGATGGCAGGACAGGGCAGGGCAGGGCACGGAGGGGCAGGAGCAGGTTGGAGGAGGAGGGAAAGTGCCTCCCCCAGCTCGGACATGCTGTCACCCCCATTAGCCATCCTGGAGCTGTGCAAGAGCTCACTGGGAGGCACAGGCGGGAGAGTGGGTGGATGGAGAGGTTGTAACTGGGATGTGCTAACTGGGGATGGATTTTAGAAATCCCAGGATCCCAGAACTGCCTGGATTGGAAAAGCCCTTTAAG